GTATTCGGCCATCACCAAAGAAGTGGCCTAAACACCCGTCTCATGCAAAGTAGCTTTTGCTATCGTTGATTGTTAAGCCTGCTCTTTTAATGTATACATCCAACTCTCTGAGCACCTTGAAATGAGCCTCGAAGCTTGACGAAACTACCAATAAGTCGTCTAAATAAACAAAAACTTCATTTCGGTACCATATTGTTCATCAGTCTGGACATAGTATTCTTTTTAATGTAAGCAGACAACTCTCTGAGCACCTTCGTATGAGCCTCAAAGTCTGACGAGACCACAAGTAAGTCGTCTAAATAAACGAAAACTTCGTTTCGGTAATGCGATAAAATCGCTGAAATGGTCAAAAGAGACCGGCATAGTAGCAGCTGTAGCATCAGTCAAGAGCTAGGCATGAGTCATCAAACTGTTATAAACCATTTGAAGAAGCTTGGAGTCACTAAGAAGCTCGATGTATGGGTGCCACACGAATTGACGCAAAAAAACATCAGCACTCATGCAGAATAGGCACTCTTTGATCAACAGAGGCCGAATTGTCTTCCACCAGGACAACGCCAGGCCACACACATCTTTAGTGACGCGCCAGAAGCTCCGGGAGCTCGCTTCAATTTTATGAACCGCATTCAATAAAGACTGAGGAAATTCAATTAAAGTATGATGTAAGGGATTTTTTGGAACATTCTTTTAATTCTTTTGTTAAACAGCACGATAAATGAAAGCTGTCTATTATGTAAAATAGTTTGACCCTTTGTAACAAATTTTTATATATTTAGAGGAATGAGTGCATCAAGAAGAGGGGATTTTATTCGCAAGCAACGTTTGTCCAATATTTGTTTTAACCATTCGTAGTTTAAGACGAGTAACTACGAACTTCGTTTGCAAGAAACCACATTACACTATGCTCCATGGTTCAACTGAAAAACTAGAAAAAGTTAACAATTGCATTACAAAAGAGCAAGCGTTCCTAGCCACAGCTTTGATTAAAGTAAAATCAAAAAAAGGTGGATATGAAAACCTAAGAGCGTTAATAGACAATGGGTCGCAGTGCACCATTATTTCATTCCTCCAAAACTTATACAATATTAGACGTTGATAGGTCCAAATGGATAAAATCGCGATGGCAGACCCTAACTTTAATAAACCAAGGAGGGAAGATATTATTAATATTTTATAACATTATAATATATAATAATATATATATAATTTTATATATATAATTTATTAATAATTTAATAAAGAAGCGCTTCAACTTTATGAAACGCTTGTAAAAAAAACTAAGGGAATTGATGTAGTGGATTTCTTGGAATAACGATTTAGTTCTCATATACGAGGTGTGTTCAAAAAGTAAGGTGACTCTTCAAATTTCGCGAATTTCAAATTTTTCGATTATCGATTTTTTTGTTTTGTTATATTGGTACACTCTTCCCTAACATCTGTACCAAGTTTCAATGGAACATCCTCTTTTGTTTGGTTGTGAGAGGCGTAAAGTTACAAGTTATTTTGCGAGCTCGGCGATTTTTTGCTATCGAAAAATATGGATCAAAGGATTTGGATTTTTTGGCCAAAAACAACACCACAATAATGCCTCAGCCACCATATTCACCGGATTTGGCCCCATGTGACTTTTTCTTGTTCCCAAAACTGAAGATAATCGAAAAATTTGAAAAATTTGAAATTTGAAAAGTCACCTTACTTTTTGAACACACCTCGTATAACTTCTAAAAGGTTTCGATAATCGAAAAATTTGAAATTCGCGAAATTTGAAGAGTCACCTTACTTTTTGAACACACCTCGTATCGTCACAAGATGAAGAAAGGAAACCTTTTAAATGAGGGGTAAATACCAAGTTAAGTAAAAGCTGCCTAATATGTAAAATGGTTGGAGATTTTGTAACTAATTTATTCGCAAACAACGTTTGTGCAATAGGTGTTTTAAGCATTCGTCGTTCACGAGGTGTAACTGCGAAAATGTATGTTCAGTTTTCAAAAACCCCATCACACTATGGTTCACGTCCCAACTGAATAACAGGAAATGGTAAAGAGTGCGTTACAAAAGAGCAAGCGTTTCTAGCCACAACTTGGATTAAAGTAAATTCAATAAAATGTGGCTAAGAAAACCCAAGAGCGTTAACAGATAGTGGGTTGCAGTGCACACACTTGTACTTCAAAATATAAAGTTAATTTAAACATAAAAATGCGCAATATAAAAAAGATCCTCTGAACATTGAAGCAACCATTCTTCCAAAACTTATGAAGACTTTACCTGTCAAAACATTAGACGTTGATAAGTCCAAGTGGACAAATTGCTTTGGCGGGCCCTCACTTTAATAAACCAAGTAGAGAAGATATTTTTATATGGGTAGATTTGTACGGAAGGAAGAAAGTAGTTAAAATTCACAGACTATTATGTCAAAACACTGAATCCGGATGAATTTTATCCGGTTGCGCAAAATCAAAAGGTAAGAAACTGATTGTGGTTACTGCAATAGAAGTTGACAATTTAGAAAGATTTTGGGAGATGGAAAATGTAAACAATGATATTGAGGAAGAAATTTGTGAAAAGCATTTCTTAGAGACCACAAATAAATATAAGAATGGGCGCTATGTGGTCAAAATTCAATTTAAATACAAGGGGAAACGCTATAGTCGAGTGCCGCGACTATAAGATACCTGTTACTGTCTTACACAATTTTAAAATATTAATTTTGCTAGTGGAAATTCACAAGGTGCCACCTATTGTCAGAGGAAGTATGTTGAGTATGCTTATAGTGAAGTCACTGCCCATGTGAGGCCTTACAACCTTAATTTCTTTTTAAATAGCGAAATAATGTTTCGATTTGAAAAATCTTTGGAAAATAGATAGATATTAAGAAATGAGTTATACAAGATCAAACGAAGGCATTCATAATAATATAATAGACGCCACAGTTTTCCGCGGTTTGTGGCAAGTTGCAGAGTCATCTCTTAAATAGGTATTCTTAAGCAAAATTTTGTAGCTCTTATAGTTTTCGATATTTTTGCAATTTTTGTTTTTTTTTGGTTTTGTGGGCGTGGTTTGGTCGAAAAAAAACAATTCGCATTGGGAGCATCATAAAAACCTACATGCTTAATCCGAACTTTCTATCACTTATAGTTACCGAGATATCAGGTTTTCTTGAAAATGCGAAAACCGTCTTTTGAGCCTTGTGGGTGTATGGGTGGGAGTGGCCGGATAGTAGTACCAGCATAAGATGCGCTGGCATCTAAAGATTATACATACTGAATTTTAACTTTCTAGCTCTAATAGTTCCCGAGATTTCAGAGATTTAAGTTTTTCGCGATTTGTGGGCGTTAGAGTGGGCGTGGGAGGATGCTGAAATAAAGTTGCGCTGTCTAGGGACCTCAAGAATCTTCATGCTTAATCTCAACTTTGTATCTGCTATAGTTCCTGAGATCTCAGCGTTCATACGGACAGACGGACGGGCAGACGGACATGGCTCAATCGACTTCGCCATTGATCCTGATCAAGAATATATACTATATACTTTATAGGGTACATATGTAACATAGTTACATACTTTTCAACGAATCTAATATACCCTTTAACTACACTAGTAACGCCTATTTAATTGCTGCAGCTCAGGTAGCTACGGAGGGTGAACTGTGGGTGGTTCCAAAAAGAGCGGCTTTTCTTTCCGCTAAGATTGAATGGGCGCTCGGTCTTTAGGTCTTAGATCGCGATGGGAAACTGCAATCTTCCGGTGTTTGTTGGGGCGCGTCCCACGATGCCCGCGCAACTCAGCGCTTGCTGCAGCCCCGGAGTGTTAATGCGGCTTGCTAATCTAATAAGATTCAATAAAATCTAGGAGACGAACGCCGTCAGAAACCTGCTTAAGCCCAGTTATCATTTTCCAGCTTACCTAGGCAACCGCCAATTTAAATAAGCCCGATTTTCTGAACTCGTGTAATTGCTTTGAAAACCTTTAAAGAAAAGAACGTGTCCGGAATTTGGAAAGGGGTCTGCAAAGTTGGCCGCGGTGCGAAATCCGAGCTTTGTATTGCGACTATGTTGCAGCTGATTCATGCCAGCTGTGTTCGAGCAAGAGTGGTTCGATTAAGACGACCACTTCGCATTGATTTGAATCTTGCTGCATTACATTATGATAGATACTGACTCCAGTCCAGTGTCACTATTGCAGTTCCCGGTGCATTTTGCATTCGTTATGACTATCAACAAAGCACAAGGGCAATCATTGGAAGTCTGTGGATTAAATTTGCTTCTCACATGGGAAGCTCTTTGTGGCCTGATCTCGGGTCGGAAAATCTTCTAATTTATTTGTTTACTCACCTAGTGTAATTGTGTCCCCTTGTATTAATTAGCAAAGGGTCATTGTAAGAGAAGTCCCAGGCAATGCAAAACATAAAAGACAAATTCACAAAAAAACACGTTTATTAATACGAGTATATGATATGTGCAAATAGCGTCCCGCGTTAGATGCAACTTGCGCGTTCTCTCGCTTGCCGAAGACGACTGACTTTTTCCCTCTTCCCGCTTTCGTTCTCCCACGCATCGTCCCAAAATGCGAGAGTGATCAGCTGTTGCTCTCCGCTCCCCGCTTCCAGCTTCCAGAACACTGGGACAAGCAGCAAACTTAACACACCTTATATAAATAAAATAAACATTGTATATCGCAAAGCACTTCAATAAATGTTGAATAGAAACCTAAACGAAAATAATTTTATTTATTTTATTTTGCCAGCGTATGGAACATAAGCCTTAGAATACTATGTCAACCTTGAATAGCGGTGCGAAGGGAGGCGGCCTCGCTAGTAATATATTGTGAGGTAACCCTCACGCGGGTTAATTTAAGGAACAGTTAAGACCCACGAAGGGTACTTGTACATACATACATAGCTAAGGCGTAGCGAAAGCCCGCTAGGCTTCACCGCTAGACAAAATCGCGCCCGCAAGGTCACGTCGCCCCGCAACACCACGCCCGTAACATCGCCCGCAACATCATGTCCGGACAATCACCACGCCTTGGGCACATCGCGCTCACAGCGCAATCACAACCGGCAGAGCCAACATTACCCAGGACTAGCAAGGATACACATCCTTCAAGGAAACCAACGCACCATCCATCGGCCACCTTACAGACGCATACACCAGCCGCCGCACAGGCGCATCCATCACCCGCCTCACAGACTCATCCACAAGCCGCCTCACAGGCGCATCCACAAGCCGCCTCACATGCGTATCCACCAGCCGCCTCACAGGCGCATCCACCAGCCGCCGCACAGGCGCATCCTCAAGCCGCCTCCCAGGCGCATCCACAAGCCACCGCACAGAAGCATCCACCAGCCGCCTCACAGGCTCCTCCGCTAGCCGCCTCCCAGGCGCATTCACAAGTCGCCTCACATGCGCATCCATCAGCCGCCTCACAGGCGCATCCGCAAGCTGCCTCCTGACGCATCCACAAGCCACCGCACAGACGCATCCACCAGCCGCCTCACAGGCGCCTCCGCAAGCCGCCTTCCAGGCACATCCACAAGTCGCCTCACAGGTGCATCCACAAGCCGCCTCACAGGCGCATCCACAATCCGCCTCACAGGCGCACCCACAAGTCGCCGCACAGACGCATCGATCTGCCACATCACAGACGCATCCACCACCCGCCGCACATGCGCATCTATCACCCGCCTCACAGGCGCATCCACAGGCCGCCTCACAGGCGCATCCATCGGTCAGCTTACAGACGCATCCACCAGCCGCCGCACAGGCGCATCCATAACCCCCCTCACAGACGCACCCACAAGCCGCCTCACAGGCGCATCCACAAGCCGGCCGACGGGCGCATCTACCAGCCGCCTCCCAGGCGCATCCATCAGTCACCTCACAGGCGCATCCATCACCCCCCTCACAGGCGCATCCACCGCCACCGTCATGGCGGCGCAGGTCACCGGCGCTGCTGCCTCTGGGCAACTCGCCCCCACCGGGGACATCAACCCCGGCCCCACCGACACAACCACAGACGAGCAGACTGCCCGTTCGGAAGCGCGCACTCCGACGAACACCGGGACACTACAGCAGCTCCTGCAACATTTGATGGAGTCCCCAGGGGGCCCCACCAGCTCGGTCACCTCCCAGCGGCCTGCAGCCATACGAGCCGCCGCCCGGACCATACTGGACATATTACCCGCCACGGGAACAATCCCCCAGCCGGCCACCACCCCGGCAGTACGAGCGCCCACACCGACCGACAACACGGCAGTCGTCGTGGGAGTGGCTGCAGCGTCCACACCCAAACCCGAGCGACGGGTAAGGCCTTTGCCCGCCACCGACACGTGGCGCTGGCGGTTCCACTACCCAGCCACGAGGAACGAACCCACCGGACAAGCCAAGGTCCCACCGGGCATCCTGCTGAACGGGCCTCGACGTCGCCCAGCCCCATGGCCCGAGGATGAGGCCTTCACGGGGTAGGAGTCCCTCCCAGACGATGCACCAGACCCGGATGCCCAGATGCGCGCCCCGGAGGGATGGACCACCGCCGATGGATCCAGGAGCGCCTCCAGCTGCAAGAAGACCGGGACCTCCGCTTCCTGGTCGAGGTCGGGTACGGTAATGCGAGGCGGCCACCGGGTCAAGGCCCTCCCCCATCTCCGACGAAACCCTCACGCGGCCCCGCCGCGTCTAGAAATAGAGATATTTAGTTAAGAGTAGTCCGTAAGCTAGAACTGACGTTAGTTAAGACCCACAAAGGGCACTTGTACATACATAGCTAAGGCGTAGCGAAAGCCCGTTAGGCTTCACCGCAGATCCAACCAACGCGCACGATCACACCACGTGACGCCGGCGCAGTAAAGCTAGAGAGAAGAGGACGACGACAGCTCGCACAAAGACAGCGAAAGGGCCACTGCCGCGGTCGGCAGCAGAGAAGGGCCTCGAGAAGCTCGCGATGCCCGCCGATCGGGGAGTCTGTTTTGTGAGTTGAACGAGAGAAGTCGTAATCCCGGAGAGGAGGAGCAGCTAGACGACCCCAGGAAAACATGTGGCAAGCGGACATGGAGGAGTAATACGGGTGAGCCGGCCAAGGGCCAATCCCAACCCAACAACGTAGAGATAGGTAAGAACTTAGGTAAGACTTTGTAAATAAAATGCCAGGATCATTACAAGAACTATTCAGCTCCCAATTATTCCAAAACCCAGTCAGAAGCGGTCTCCGGCTGACGAAACCGCATTTCCCTCTCTCTCTCTCATCCTTTTCCCTCCCTCCTCGTAGTTTGGGGCACCGGCACCCAGCTGACGGGGCCGGAAAGCCGATTCCCGGGTGACGGGATCGGCCGCCTATATCCTCCCTCGTAGTTTGGGCACCGGCACCCGGCTGACGAGACCGGACAACCGATTCCTGGGTGACGAGATCGGCCGCCTATATCCTCCCTCGTAGTTCGGGCACCGGCACCAGACTGACGGGACCAGACAACCGATTCCTGGATGACGGGATCGGCCGCCCATATCCTCCCTCGTAGTTTGGGCACCGGCACCCGGCTGACGGGGCCGGACATCAGATTCCCGGGTGACGGGATCGGCCGCCTATATCCTCCCTCGTAGTTTGGGCACCGGCACCCGGCTGACGGGATCGGACAACCGATTCCTGGGTGACGGGATCGGCCGCCCGCGAAAACCCTGACTCCCCCCTCGAAAAACCAACACATCTCGCATCCCTTTTCCTGCCTGTCTCAGTATTTACAAATATTTCTGTAGGGGACCCTGGGCTGACTGAAGTTTATATCCCGCCCCGTGATTAGCATCCTTACAATATAAAATATAATAAAATAAACAATATATACAAATTTAATTAATGATTTTAAACTTTGAAGCCGGCAAAAGTGAGAAAGAGAATTTAAAGGGAATAGCATTCAGGGAAGAGCATTTAAAGTTCTTAATTAAATTTATAGTATAAATAGTAGTATTTGGAGTATTAAACATCTACATTAACGGTGCTTTTTGTACTTCAATAATGAGCGGTCGCTCGCTAGTTATGCGAGTGTGGGTATCCGTTGATGTGTGCCTGCCCGTGTGCAGACTAAAGTCCAAAAAAGAGCAATGAAACAGAATGTTGTTCTGTGTTTACAAAAGAACAACTGATTTCGCTGCTTAGTACAAAGTTTCATATAAGTGACTAGCGTGCAAGCTCTTGTTTACATATACAATTCGGGTTTTGAATTTAGGATTCTTTTTAAAATAAATGTCGTGCTACAAGATCCTCCACCCGTTGGTTCTCTGGTTCTCTGGTTCCTGCAACATATTGCTTAAACTGGGAGCGGCGCAATTTTGCAGATGGGTCGGCGAGTAACTCCGTTCATCGTCTTTATGTAGACAACTCTGACCTTTCCGTCAGCTCCAAAACAAGTGTTTAAGATTCGACCGAGAGGCCACTGCTGAGGTGGAGTGTTGTCATCATGGATGATCACTGCATCACAGGCGTTATGATGGCATGCGGCGTCAACCATTTGGTTCGAAGTTGCAACGTGTGAGGGTAGCCCCGTCGCCAGAGATCTCAAAACTGCTGCTATGTGACGCGCTGCCAGCGAGTCAGACTGTTGGGATTTCGATCCTCCAGACATGGTTCCTGAAGCGCCTTAGAGACGAACCTAACAAAAAATGCGATGCGTTTAGAGCCTCTCCATCATTCGGATCCTCGGACATCGGCGATATTGGTCTCGAATTAACGACTGCTTCGACCTCAATGGCAACAGTTTGCAGCTCCTCATCTATAAGACCAGAGTTACCAATATTTTTCTCCAGCAAATGTTTCATCGATTTCACCGCCACTTCCCGAGGGATGAAATGAAACAAGATGCCCGTTGAAGCGGTAAACGTTTGCAGGCGTTACCGCGCCTGCTGACTGAAGTGCTGCTTCCTGAATTCGTCATGTTGGGAATGAGCACCAACAAAATTAGTTGCGTTTTCGCACCAAATGCTCTCTGGAAGTCTTTAAACATAAGCAGATGACGCCATATATGTTTTATATGGAACCTTTCCACGAATCCGATAGGAGGTAGAAAATGGTCCATATAGATCTACTCCTGAGATGGCAAACGGCTTGGTTAGGGTCAGCCTTTCCGCTGGCAGTGATCCCAGAATTTGTTGCATTTGCCTGGGCTTGTAATTTTTGACTACTTTATTGGTGATGCGACGAGCAATTAAGTTCCATATTTGAAGTCTTAGTAATCCAATTAGCGCTTTGAGGCCTGCATGCATATTGACGTTGTCAAGATGTTAAACGTACTTATAGGTGAGCAAGTGATCGCTAGGAAGAAGCAATGCTAGACGGCCGCCGACTCGAATTACTTGTATAGATCGATTGCCAATATCAGCTTTAGCTTCGAACGGAGTCAATTTTCTTAGATTTGAACTAAGACGATTTCCCTTTTGTATGTCAATTAAATCCGTTGAGAAACTTTGGCTTTGAATTGTGGAGAGAATGTAGATAAATGCCTTCAGAATTTCATTGGCATCAAGTTCGTTTGGCTGTAAGGGACGAAGCTCTGTGCTGGGAGGAACAACGTTAAAAATTCGATATATGAAAGCTACGATCCGGACAATTCGAGCATATGAAGAGATTCTGCTGATGAGCCTTTCAATTATAATTCTCTCGATTCTGCTATCTCCACATTTAAAAGTTACCACTTTTCGCCATTCTAATGCGTTGTCCGCTGAATTGGCAATTGGTTTTCCCTTTGGCCAAGTGTATTCATTGAAGCAAAGAAATGTTGGTCCGTTGAACTAGATTGTGTATTGTAGATCGGCTGCGGCACATCCTCACGAAACGATATCCACTGGATTCTCCTGACCCGGAACATGTCGCCATTTGATGTTCGCGGACTACGATTGGCTACGACGCACTTAAGCTGGGATGTGTGCATTGTAATCCATTGTAGGACAATTGTCGAGTCTGACAAAAAGTAACCTTTTCGGATATGTTCTCAAACTTATGTTTGATTTTACCCCATGTTGCGCAAAGAAGCAAGGCTGCGCACAACTCAAATTTTGGTAGACAGAAAGTCTGAACAGGCGCTGCCTTTGATTTTGCAATTACTAAACGCAAAATAGATAGTTTATAACGGTTTGATGACTCATGCCCAGCTCTTGACCGATGCTACGGCTGCTACTATGCCGGTCTCTTTCGACCAATTCAGCGATTTTATCGGAATTTTCGACGACAGGCCTCCGGAGCGTGGTGCATCTTCGACCACCTCTACACCAGAACGAAAACGTTGCTACCATCATTGTGCTGTGGAAATGGAAACTGTATCGGGTCCATAAAGTGCACAAATTTTATTGGCGGCATGAGATGCATTTTTGCCTTTATCGTAGTAGTACAGTAAGCTTTTGCTCCACGATTGCAACGTTATAACTCACGAACGACTTAAAAGAAAAGACAATCAATCAAACACGTGTTAGCGCGCGAAACAAGAACTACGCGCTTTCAACGCCAACTAGCGAAAATACCGCAAGACTTTTTTGACAACCTAATATATAATATATGGATATATATGGACAGAATACACAACGAGAAAGGGAAAGAGGAGATCGGCGTCCGAATTCGCCTGAGCGAAAAAGCTTTATTGGGCAACGCTCCCCCTCTTCACACTGAACGAACGGAATGACCAAACACCGCCCCCTCCGAAGGGACGACGTCCTTCAGGATTGTCCAGGTAGAAGCGCCAACCTATGGATGGCGCGCCGGAATGTTTCCTCCGCTGTCTTCACGCCCGCCACTCGGACCTT